CACGGGGCCAAGTCCCACTAGCAGCGTTGAGCTACCTCAACGCCTGAATCTGGACGTTTTTTCCGTGATGTGCAGAAATGGTGTTGAGTTTCCTGAACTGCACGTCACGGCAAAAACGTCCAGATTCAGGCGTTGAGGTAGCTCAACCCTGCTAGTGGGGGGCACGATGCACTCCCGTTTCCTCAATTTCGTTTTCCTTCTTCATTTTTTATTTTATTTTTTTTTTTGAAGTTTTCTTTGTTTTTCGTTTGTTTTTCTTTTCATTTTCTTCACATTTATTGTAAACAAAATTTGTTGTCCTCGAAGTACCGGTCCTTCGAGGCTCGTCACCGTAGCTGTAGGTTAGGCCTACCGGTAGCTCTAGGGTCGGGCCTTGACAACCAGTAGGTACTGGTGGTTTAAGATCGACTCGACTTTTCAGGAATCAGGATTGAGAAAAGTGTCAACTTGCACGTTTTCTATATTTTTCTGTTTTTTCGGGCTGGAGTCGGCTGTGCGATAGCTATAGCATTACATGCCGCATGTACCGTAAACGGCGTAAAGTAATTTTGTTGGTTTTTCCAGGTTGTTAGGCTGGTGATGTTCATGAGCCTGTACCTGGACTATCTGTGTCTGTGGTAAATAATTAGAAAAGTAACCCCAGCAACCAAGCTTCACACCAGACGACCTTTCCCAAAACAACAACACAGCGCAAGGCTAGAGGCGGAAGAACAAAAACACGGCATTCAGACGAGAATGTCATCATACAGATGGACAAAATCCTCATGGCAAGAGCTCAGTCTGACGGTTGAGAGAGAAAGGTTGGAGTCCAGAAAAACGACTGACGAACAACAGTGAGGAAAGAGGCAGGGGACACAACAGTTGATGACAAGAAGTGGCAAGTTCACAACAGAGAGCAAAGGCTGGAGGGCATGGGGGAGGCGGGTGAGCAGAGAGACAATACACAGTGCCCAAAGCACAACCAACATGCCAAAGAAACATAGCAAACACAAAGAACAACAACCCAAAAAAAATTGAAGTATCAAAACACGCAAAACCCACAAAAAATAGAACTGATGATAGATTGTTTTGTCGGAGTTGCACCGACTCATCAGGAGGCTGCACACTCGACAATCTGCGGAATCTCCGCATTTGATGGCTTGGGTCATGAACCCTTTGACCCTTGTTGAAGGCAGACTGTCCCCAAGCAGAACATAGCAACAGGCAGCAACCCTGTGGAGCACCAGGCTACAGAGTAGAGGCAACAGAGCTGCACAACGCCAAAAGCGACTGCAAGGAACAACATGGCACGCAGGACATGCAGCGCGGCGACCGTGTAGTGAAGCACAAGGCAACACAAGCAAGGCAACTACCCTGCAAGGGACGACAGGGCGAGCGGACCAGCAACTGGGCTACCGTGGAGCGAAGCACAAGGCACCCGCAACAAGGCAACCATCCAACAAGGTCCGCAAGCAGCAAGCGCGGAAGGCACGGCCAGCGGAAGGGCAGCAAGGCAGTGGAGCAGAGAAGCGCAAGGCAACACCAACAACACGGCCACACCACATAGCGAACACATCAACCTGCAAAGAACCACATGCGAAGCAAGCGGGGCAGGCAGCAGGGCAGCGGCAGGGCGCAGACGAGGCCGTCCACACATCCAACATGGAGCAAAGCAGCACATGACCTACTCACATCACGATTGGACCCCACAGACTGTTGGTTCCCACCACCCACTGAGCCAGGGAGACACTCTGACGAGCATCCATCATCACCCACAGGCAACACAGACACCCCGAACCGAGCGGCCCCCCTAAGAGTGCAGTAGGCACTCCAGACGTAGAACCACCGACTGTTTGGCACTACGCGAGGGTGCTCAGTTGGGTAAGCAAAATACTTAGAAAAAGATCAGATGGAGGACAGACAACAAGAGAAAAACAGACAAACATAAAACTGATTGTGTGTGTGTGTGTGTGTGTGTGTGTGTGTGTGTGTGTGTGTGTGTGTGTGTGTGTGTGTGTGTGTGAGATTCATGTTACAGTGACAGTTTGGATGTCTTTCAAAACAAAAATGATAAACTCACAACAACACTGTGTGATTGTCAACGGGACAAAAACTTGAAACAGCTAAGCATGCTGGTGGAATGATTGGCCGCTTGGTCATTTTGTGTCAATTGCAACGGACCTCATTGGTGATTTTTCTCCACGTATTTTCCTTTTACTTTTACGCTTGAGTGCATGTGGATCTTGAACATATGTCCACACCCCTACCAGTCTTTACTTCCTATTACCGTGTTCCGTTGCTAGTACCTGGTTTGCTCCATATGTGTCGTTTCCTGAAACAACCATTCAGTGTCCCTGGGTGTCGCAGTGACTCCATAATCCTCCACTCACCTACTATGTCATGCGGGGGAAGCCGCTCTGGCCGCTCTAATTTCCGCTAATATCTTCAGGGCAAGGCGTAACTCCCTTTTAAAATATTGTTAAGTCCTTCAGGAATTCAGCCCTAAGCTGAAGTGAAGAGGGAAGGAAAAAGGAAGCATCCATTGATTTCATTCCCTCCATCATCACACTGAGGAGCAGTGAGGACTGACAAATGTGTGATCTTGTTTTTTTCTGCTGGTTTTGCCCTGTGCAGAGGCATATGCAGTGCACCATACCATGCAGCCACAGCCTGTTCTTCTCCGTGCCTTCGCATACGTCGACCCTGAGTACTTTGTGACAAGGACCCTTGTGCCCCAATCTGATATCTACTCGCTTGGCATTATAATTCTTCAGCTCCTGACTGGGAAGAACTCTCCTGAAGTTTCAGGATCAATGCAGTTGGCAATAGCAGACAATCAGCTGGAAAGTATCCTGGACAGGTGAGTGCGGGTATGTACATCCTTTAGGGTATTTGCATGAAAAAGGCACCATTATGACCTGATAAGTATGCCGTTACTTTGCGAGAAAGGTCGTGGACCTAGTCAATATAGAGGATCGCACATAGGAGAGCAATGAGCTAGCCAGATTTAAAATTGAAAAAAAAAAAAAGAAAAAAAAAAAAGAAACTGGTTATAGGGTTTGGAACTTGGGAGCTTCTCTCGGCATAGAGCAGAGGTCGGGTCGACCCATAACTCTCAGGATGGGCCAGCTTGTCTGCATAGATATTCATGGAAATCAAATGGACTAAGGAGCAGATAGGTGGCGTCCCTTGAGGTGGAAACCAAGCTCCTGTTCTGTTCTGAAAGTCAGTCCTTGTTCTCCTCATCCCAAATATGGCTCACTTTCCGTACTCCGCGATGATTAATCCATGATATCCACCTCTCTTCCACATGGCTTGAGAGATAGTGAGTGGGTGGTTACTTACTCTCGCCTCTCACCCACGGATTCCCAAAGATGGGGGTTGTCCCAGGATCTCCTCTCTTTGGACCTGGGTCTGCCCACTTTTTCTTTGGCATGATTTGCTCAGCATATTCGCAGCAATGCAGTGCGGTGAGGTGTAGGGGGCCTGCTGCCTTCATTTTGGAGCAGTCCCTTTTCGTTGGTTTCTATAGCCTGTGTTTGCGCTCCATTCCTTTTTTTTTTTTTTAATTTGGACCATTTCTCGATTTATGCGTGTCATCCTTGCGCAGGGGCCATGCTAAGCTTCTCTGTATCGTTCCAATTTTAACGGATGTCGCGGGGCTCCATTCCTTATTCATTACCATTACCCAAAAAAAATAGACCGGACATGTTTGCTTTGCTGGCGTGCCTTTCGGGGCTAAGCACCTGATACTGCCCAAGGCCAGTTTATTCCATGCCGGTCCCGGTTCGGTCAGGAGCTTAATAATCAATAATCCACTTAACTTGTAGGGCTTTTGTTTCTTGCTTTGGATCGATAATGCCGATGCCGAGTTCTCCTGAGTCCCGACTGGTTTCCGTGCTGTGATATAATGCCATGCTATGTTTGGTATGAAGTTCTCTTTGTTGGGGGCGCCTGACTGGTTTCCGTGTTGTGATATAATGCCATGCTATCTTTGGTATGAAGTTCTCTTTGTTGGGGTCGCCCGACCACAGGTATAGGCTCTTGCTTTGCGATTAAGGTCCTTGATGATATGGTCGGGCACTGTCCAGATTGAGGTATATTGAGAAAACTGAGGTGTTGATAGTCAGCGCTCGGCCCAACATGGACATCATGAATGTGTTCCCCCACCTACCCATCTTATTAATTTCATTAGAGAGTCGGTAGGTTTTGACGCTTGAGCCATTTGAGGTGCAAAACCATCTTTCGTAAGCAATCTGCCCAAATAACGTGTGGGCGTCTCAGGTTTCTCCCACGTCATGTCGTTCTTCGGGCCCTGCGGTTGGGGGGAACCTCGTCATCAGATAACCACCATCCCATTGTTTTCTTCCAGTTAATCTTCATTTCAGTTTTGGAGAAATTTGGACCCGTTAGTCAGGAGCTGAAAGTGGTGGTCCTCCCGGTTAACCACTTGTGGAGACATTTCTGATGCCAGTCTGAAAGCTTCCGTCGCTCTCACTAACGCACTGAATGATGAATCAGATCAGAGGGCTCTGGAATAAGGACAGTGAGGTCATCTGCAACTACGGAGATTTTTTATTATTATTATTTTTTTTAATGGACCATTTCTCGAAACACATCAAAATGGTGATGGCAGTACCAAACAATAGAAAGATTTTACAAAAATAGGTCAAATTATCTATGATTAGATTATTATAAAACAGATTAGCAGTGGTTAAAGGATTATTGATCACTCAATTTATTTGTGTCCCCCTTGTGCAGGGGCCATGCTAATCTTCTTTGTATCGTTCCAATTTTAACGGATGTCCCGAAGGAGGCAACTACCCAGATTTCTACCTTGTGAAATAAATGTTTTTTTTCTACTTTTCTCGTTGCACTAGACTGGACCATAGGTTACATCCGTCCGCCCTGGTGGTGGTACGTTCTCGTCCAGTCAGAATTCAGGAGCCAAAAGGCACCGTTATAGAGTGTCCCTTTTGAACCTACACCGAGCACCCAGCGTGACTGCGACTGCGAGACTATCCTGTAGGCCCGCGTGCACCGCCGTTGCTCGATATAATTTCCCACATCCCATTCGAACCCTTGACCTTCGCGATTGAGCGGTCTTTAATCACGTTTACTGCACATTGTGTGGTTCTGTGCATGGATGGTCATTCTTAACGAAGCATGGGTATCTCAGTGAGGAGAGGGAAGAAAAAAACAGGATGGGAATCGGGTTTCACGGCTACTTTCACCTCCACGTAGCGACAGGTATGACTTGTTCCCCTTTATGGGATTAGAGATCATTGGACTCATTGGAGGGAATTCCGTATTCCGTAAGGAGGGCGGAAAGCATGATGTTACTCTGGAAAATCCCTTTCATCTCTGGCCAGGTTGCCGAGGCCGCGAGACTAGTCCCAGTTCACCTCTCTGGCAAACTCAGTCAATTTGTAAAGGCCCAGGAAGGGCCATGAAGATGTCTTTTCGGGCTGGGATTTGTATGGTTAATTTTTTACAAAATTCTTCGGCTGCAGCCAAAATTCCAGCTTGTTTCCAAATTTTGGGGTCCCTGACGCCCTGGGCATTAGGACAGGGAGTAAAGGGGGTCTGAGGGCTTCAAAGGGGTTTAAACTTTAAAGTTTAAAGTTTAGGGTTTAGGGTTTAAACTTGAAGCCACCATTAACCTTAACGGCGGCCTTGGTTGCCAGGAGGCCCACCCTTTCTCAGTTGGTCCATTGATTGGATTGACAATTGGACGTCAACAATCCCATCATCCTTCCCCCCCCCCCCCTCTTCCTTTGTGCTGGGGCTGGCGCAATTTTTCAGCCTCTTTTTTGTCCGAAAAGTTTGAGAAAAACTTCTGAAACATGTTCTTTTCGCGCCCATAGATGCAGGCAATTCAGCTGATTGTCCGGCCAGGTCTCTGTCCAGGTCGGATGCCCGGTCCCTCATTACGTAGGCGTCGCAGGTTACTTGTTGTTTTCTTATCTGGTTATCTCTCTGGCTTGCTGTGTCTTCTTTCTCTCACTGCATGCCCAACCCAGGGGTGAGGTCCCGCTAGCAAAGAGGATTGGATCTAACGCCTGAATCTGGATGAGTTTGCGGTGAAGTGCAGAAAATCACGGTTCATCTGCCTTAAAATTTGGCATCTCTGCTGAAAACCCATCGAGATTCAGGCACTTCAACCACCCCTCGTTGCTAGTGGGACCTTGTCCCAGGCGGGGCCTATCCTATCCTTTTTTCATTTTCTCTCTTTCCAAAACCTATCCTGCATGCTGTTAGATGCCATTTTCCCCTGAATACAGCGTACCGTCACCATAGCTGCATTTGGGGCAACTTTCGCTCTACATACAGCCATAATTAACGGCCGCCTGTTCTGTTCTGTTCGGGGGAAGTACTACCGTCTTCCCCCGAACACAACACACCCTCATTTTGCCTGTATCTGGCCAGAAATATAGCTTGTATACATTCATTTTTAGGGTGCGTTCTGTTCGGGAGAAGTACTGCAATTCCTGATTTTGAATTTTGCCTTTACTGCTCAGCTCATCGGATAATATGGTGCTCGGCGGCACTGCTCGCTAACAAAAGTAGCCAAACAAAACGCAAAGCCCCAAGACACAAGAAGAGATGACACAAGTGTTGTGTTGGAGTGCTCTCCATTAACAAGACGAAAAAAAAAGCAAAAAGAGAAAGAACGGAAAAAGAGAAAGAACGGAAAAAGAAAAAGGAAGGGTGGGGGGGGGGGGGGGGGGGGGAGGGAATACAGACAAGACAAATGTAACAATGCTGTCGTATGTGTTATCTACAGGACGGCAGGGCGGTGGAACCTGGACCAAGCGGAGAAGGTGGCATTACTGGCATTGAAATGTGCGGAGGTGAGGCGCCGAAATCGTCCAGATCTGCAGACGCAGATACTTCCGGTGTTGGAAATGGTTTCCAGACTTGCAGCGGAAGAAGCAGCAGCTGATGTTTCAACGCGGCATGCGGGGATCCCGGCAGAGGCTGTGGCGACCATGTTCATGTGCCCAATAACACAGGTGAGTTAAGCTGGTGTTTTTTTTTTTTTTTTTTTTTTTTTTTTTTTTTTTTTTTTTTTTAATTGGACCATTTCTCGATTTATGATGCTTGTCAAACTTGCCGAGGGGCCATGCTAATTTTCTGTCTTCATGGGTATACCGACAGAACCAGGCCCGTTGCAGGAGAGGGTTAACTTTGGCTGCGTCATGCACGCACAACCCATACCACACCACACAACAGCCGTTTTTGTTTTTTTGTTTTTTTTGTTTGGAAGAGAGCCAGCTTTGGATGGACCAGTAGGTGGGGACCACACAACAAACAGTACGACGATATAGCATAACACAAAACTGCATGACCATGTATGACATACAGGCAATTTCCACAGGGCACCGTACAGTGGGCTGTAGCAGTGTGCCATATGGCTATGGCAGCTATGGTGATTGGGAAGAAGCCGGGCCAGGGGTTCCTGCCTCGTGGTCTGCTTCATTTTGAGGCACCCCTGCTTGAGATGGAGCTGCAACCAGTGTTATTGCCTTTGTGTCTATGGCTATGGTGGCAAGTCACCATCACCAGCCCTTCGTGATGGGAGCAGTCTACCATAACCATCCCTTCACGAAGGGAGCAACGTGGGTAGAGGGCGTTTGCTAACAAGGCTTTGAGCTCTAAGTCATATCATCTCACAAAGGTCATACCATTTCTCGCCTATGTACTCTCTTTCTCTCTCTCTCTCTCTCTCTCTCTCTCTCTCTCTCTCTCTCTCTCTCTCTCTCTCTCTCTCTCTCTCTC